ATACAATGACTCCAGGCGGCTCACAACAATCCATAAAACATAGCTAAAAACATACCCTTCCAAGGCGCCAGACCAAACATCCTTACAGCTCAACCTCCTGTCCTAGCCCAGAAGAATTAGCAAGAATGGAATTAAGGTTCGTATTTAACATTCATTGGAGAGGAAGGGATTACAAGAGAATAAGCGGGCACACAATGGGGAATATACCGGGCTGTTTGCCTAGCATGCTCATGGCTGCCGGCACCACTGCATTGCTTTCGATGTGTATTCCCCATTGTGTGCCCGCTTAGTCTCTTGTAATCCCTTCCTCTCCGATCTCTCCACTCTACAAGGGGGGAAAAAACAGGCCAGGCACAGGACTCTGCGTACTGACTGTAATGGCAATCATGTGGCTGAGGGACGCTGCGAAGGTCGTAAATGCTGGCATGGTTCATAAAGTTATTTTTTTCAGCACCGTCGTAACTTTGAGTGGTTGCTGAACAAGGCAGTCGGTAAGCGAGGACTACCTGTACACTTAACCAGAGGCTACTATGTAAGAGAAGGTTAAGAAGAACAGCAAGGCCTTCTGTTCTCTTGCCAAAGGGCACCAGCTAGCACTACATCTGGCCCACCGAGGACGGTCCAGCAGAAGTCTTATTTTCAATGGTTTCCCAAACAGGGAAAAGCTGAGTCTGCCCAGCTGCCATGACCTAACTGAAACATGTGCTTCCTGTCCTTGAGAGTGCTCCCCGGATTTGGTAACTGAAGAAATGGCCCTGCTGGGACATGGACTCTTGGAAACAGGGTCTCAGGAAGGAAAAGGGAGGCAGCAGAAACTCCACTTCACTTCCAGAAAACGCCACTGCCTTGACCCTGATGCTTTGCCACTTTAAGCCTGGGAGCATGAAGTGGGGGGGTGCCTCTCCTTGCTGGCCCCTCCATGAAAGCGAGTGCAAAGCATTAACAGGGTGAGGCTGAGCCAGAGAGGAACAGAAGTACCTCACAGGTCAGCAGGCATCCCGCCGGTCCTGAGTTGGAAACGTTAGGAAGGGCACAGGTCATCTGGAAGCCCAACAGGCTTGGGGAGGCTAGGGGATGCTTGGCGATTCGGGGGGGTTTCAGCCCTCTGGTTCAGCTATTACATGGTTAATTTGGGCACTGCATGTTATGTGAACAAAGCGACCGTGCTTTGTGAACCCAGGTTTAGAGTTTAGGGTGAACCCAGCCACTGTCTGGCAGTGTAATCCCTGCACTCCCTTTTTGCCCCTACACCCAGAAGCACTGCTGAGTGGAGCAAAAGACTGCCTTTTCTTTCTGCCTGAGGCTAACGATTTGCTAACAACTAACCAATCCATTAGAGAAAGACATCCAGAATCACTGAAGAGTCTCTCAAGGCTGTAGCCCTCCCAACCGAGCAAACACACAGACACATTGCAAATGGGTCATACTCGCGCTGAGTTTCGGAGGAACCGGTGCACGGCGTGCTTCCCCATGCAAGGCCTGCGTTTCCGCCATCAGAGCCCCTTGGGCTGGGCTGCTCTCGGTGGCTGGGCTCAATCAGACATGCCAACTCATGCCAAGCCTACACTAACAGAACACGCCTGCTGGGCCAAAAAAGCAAGTCATGCTTTGCTGGTGCTGCTGTTGTCGTCCAGTTGTGAGAATGCATGCAAATCCTCCCAACGTTCCACGTTTGCAAGAGTGCGGCTGATGCCCACGTCTTTCCTGGGCCGCAGGCTGTGATGCTTGTGAAAATTAGGGCTGTGCCAAGGAATGTTTTGATGAAAAGGAGGACGATCTTTCCTGAGCTGAAGCAAACTGAGTTTAAAAGCAGACAAAACCCCACAGATGTGTTAATGAGGCTATGTTTAACTTCACACCTAACTCTGGCACCAACAAACCCAAAAAACACACAAGCTGTTCAAAACCAAGATGGGCAAATCTGGAGAGGAATCTCCATGGTTTTCTTGGATAAGCTCCTCTGCCAGACCCAGGAGATGACTGGCAAAAGGGTCCCGACAAGAGAAGCCTCCAGCCTTTCATAGAGCCCAGCTCCATCTGTTCTCCCCGTCAAAATTATAGGCGTGGGAAATGATTCTGAAAATGCAGAATTCAAGATGGAATAACTCATTCCCCCATTTTATGGCAACAATTCCCTAACATGCATGCACACACACACATACACACACACTCACACGTACTTAAATTGCCCCCTTTCTCCTAAAGTTCCTTTTCCTCCTACTGTTTTACTTTAAGAAGGTGTTAGGGAAAAATCTTGGTGGCAAATGGTTTGTCAAGCAATTCATGTCCAATGCTGGGCTTTCCCTGGAAAGTCCCAGCTGCATGCCCAATTCCTTAGGGGGGGGCAGGGAGCAACAGTCCTGTGGAAAAAAAACCCAAGTGTTCCTGATGTGTAAAGTATGACACAAAGTCCTCCAAAGTTACTCATACATTTTGGAAGTGGGACGCTCTGACATTTGTCCCACCAAGAGTTGCTCTGTTCCCACCAGCGTTTGAGTAAAACCCGTCACGTTCCAGAATCCAAAATCTACAAGCCCAGAGCAAGCTGAACCCCACGTTGGACACAAACTGGGCAATGGAAGCCCAAGGTCTCTTCTCCCACTTGATGTGATTTGGGGGGCTGTTTCCAGAGGTGGAACCCTTGCCATGTGCCTTCAGATCCTTCTCTGCAGCCTCTCAGAAAGAACGTCTGAGTTCACGCACAAACTCGAATCGACCTACCAGCCAAAGTCGCACAACATACTAAGCATGTTTACTTTTATCCTCGATAAGTTTTTTCTTTTCTTTTTTGGGGGGCAAACCCAGCCTATTTGTTTAGTTAATATCAGATGAAACCAAGAAATTGGCTTAATTTTGTGACTTGGCTGAAGATGGCCTCTACAGAGTCACTTCCAACCCTAGTATTCTCTGATCTTGAGTGAACCCAACCCCTAAGTCACTCCCTCAACCACATAATGGCCCACCCAACTCCAACAAGCATGGTAGGGATTTGGGCTGATTTGAAACTCCTGCCCAAGGAGGTTGCATTACACATTCAAGCGATGAAAGAAGCAGAAGCCTACGTCAGCCAGCATTGGCAGGCCCCCGCCGGCTCTTTCCTCCCATGGAGACCCACTTTAGATGGAGGTTCTGGAAGCAGCGGCGCAGAGTCTATGTAACGGAGGGGCGTCTCTGAGAGCAGAGAATGGCATAAAAGCACACTGCAAAACCATTTCACATCAAGAGCCGATCCTCAAATGCCAGCCCCAAAATGCTGGATGCAGGCAGAGCGAAACCAGTTCAGACAATACAGTACGGTAGGCCAGAGGTAAGGTTCGGATGGAGGTCCACAGCAGGACTCTGGAATCGGTTACCTCTTAGAGCAGCAATGGGTAATTTAGGAATAGGGACATCCTCCCCTTTTCCAGATCCCTCAATTGGGTGGCAAAGCAAAAAGAGAGTGAGGCCCAGTGAGAAAGAGAGAGACACCCCCCGGGCACAGATTTGTGCTTCGAAAGCATTCAGATCCTGAAAGAAGCAAATGGAAGAAAATTACTTTGGATTCCTTTGGTGCGGCCATCACTGCCTTGACCCGACCACGTGCAGCAAGGAGGTTCTTGGCCCTGGAGCTATGATGGCTGTGGGGTCTCGGGTGAAGGGACTGGAGTTATCTCTTCCTCCTTTGAAAAAGAGGGGCCCAAGCCATGCTGTGTCCACTCCTCCCTGCCCTCCCCTGTTTCTCCCCATTCCTGGACTATCCCTGGTGGAACGTCTCTTGGACTGGACCACAACTTGGGTTCTCACCCATCCTGCATTTCTGGAAGACTTCTCCAGGGATTGCTGCCACCTCCCAGAAGGTATCTGCTAGATTTGCACAACTGATCTTTCACAAATTGATCAGCAGAGAAAATGTCACCAAACCAACCACTGGCTGAAGTGCTGACTCCAGAAGCAAGTCAAAATTCTGAATTATTTTGGAAGAAAGAGTGATTCAGGAATAAGCAGCCAGCACTTCATTCAGATTGAGAGATACTTACCATGATACACTCTTTTCCAAGAAATAAGCAGCCTTACCAAGAGAGCCCAAGAAGGCTTCATGTAGAAGGGGTGTGACAAGAGCAGCTCCAAAAGCTGGTATGAATATTTAGACCCACCCCTTTCGGGGAGAAGTCCAGATATGGGTTTTCATGGGCACTTTAGCCAGATCCTATTTAGGTATGGATTCAGTGGCAAAACTTAGTCTTGCATCCAGAAGACAAGGCCAAGTGCAAATAAGAGGAAGCTCATTGTGATATTCTGGAGAGCAAGTATGAGGCAAAGTGATTGAGAAACTTGCAGAACCCACTCTCCCTCTCTCAGCCCAAGAGCTAGGTGGTCTAGTGGTGAAAGTGCTGGAGCAGGAGTGGGGAGACTTGGGTTCAAGCCCCCCTCAGCCACAGAAACTCCATGGGGGACTTTGGGCTGGCCCTTTCCTTTCAGCCCAGAGTTGGGACTGTTGCTGTGGAAGACAACGGGAGGACAGAATGCTGCCAGGAGCTCCTGATAGATACCTCATAAAGCAAGAAAAAACACTTGCACTGCTCTGTGATGCTCTACAGCTGTGGCATG